ATATTTTATTGATTTTTTACAGAGAGGAGGATAGAGAGCTAGAAACATCGATGAAAGAGAAACATCGACCAGTTGCCTCCTGCACACCCTCTGCCGGGGATGTGCCCGCAACCAATGTACATGCCCTTGACCGGAATCGAACCCAGGACCTTTCAGTCCACAGACCAACGCTCTACCACAGAGCCAAACCGGTTTCGGCCTTTCTTAGTTTTTTGAGGAAACTCATACTGTTCTTCACAGTGGCTGCACCAGTCTGCATTCCCACCAGCAGTGCCCAAGGGTTCCTTTTTCTCCACATCCTCTCCAACACTTGTTTGTTGATGATAGTTATTCTGACAGGTGTGAGATTGCATTGTCGTTTTTGATTTGCATCTCTCAGATAATTAGTGACTTTGAGCTTGTTTTCACGGGTCTCTTGGCCTTCCTTCTGTCTTCTTTCAAAAAAGTTTCTATTTAGATCCCTTTCCCATTTTCTGAATTGTTTATCTTCCTTTTGTTAAGTTGCATGAGTTCCTTATAAATGTTGGAGGTTAAACCTTTATCAGAGATAACATTCTTGTTGTTTTGTTGATAGTTTGCTTTGCTGTGCAAAAGCTTTTCATTTTGATGTAATCCCATTTGTTTATTTTCTCTTTAGTTTCCATTGCCCTAGGGGCACTATCAGTGAAGCAATTCCTTTGGCAATTGAGATTTTGCTGCTTGTGGATTCTTCTAGTATTTTTATGGTTTCCTGTCTTATGTTTAAGTCCTTTTATCCATTTTGAGTTTATTTTTGTATATAGTGTAAGTATAATAGTTGGTCTAGTTTCTTTTTTTTGCATGTATCTGTCCAATTTTTTCACCACCATTTATTAAAGAGACTGTCTTGACTCTATTGTATGTTCATGCCTCCTTTGTCGAATATGCCCTTGACCGGAATTGAACCTGGGACCCTTCAGTCTGCAGACCGATGCTCTACCCCTGAGCCAAACCGGCTTTGGCTATGATTGTATTGTTGCTGATCTCTCCCTTGATAACTTCCAGGAGGTGTCCCCCCCCCCCCCCTATTTATTTATTTATTTATTTATTTATTTATTTATTTATTTAATGTATTTGGATGCTCCTGCATTGGGTGCATATGTTTATCAGGGTTATATCCTCTTGTTGTAGCGATCCCTTTCGTATTATGAAATGGCCTTTCTTATCTCTTGTTATGGCCTTCACTTTGAGGTCTATTTTGTCAGATATAAGTATTGCTACCCCAGCTTTTTTTTTCATTTTCATTTGCCTGAAAAACCTTTTTCCTTCCCTTCACCAACAGTCTGTGTGAGTCCTTGTTCTGAGGTGGGTCTCTTATAGACAGCATATATATGGGTCATGTTTTTTTTTAAAATATATTTTATTGATTTTATATAGAGAGGAAGGGAGAGAGATAGAGAGTTAGAAACATCGATGAGATGAGAGAGAGTCATCGATCAGCTGCCTCTTGCACACCCCCTACTGGGGATATGCCCGCAACCAGGGTACATGCCCTTGACCGGAATCGAACCCGGGACCTTTCAGTCCCCAAGCCAACGCTCTATCCATTGAGCCAAACCGGTCCCGGCCATGTTTTTTTTTTTTTAATCCATTCAGCCTCTTGATGTCTTTTGATTGGAGCATATAGTCCATTTACATTTAAAATTATTATTGAAAGGTACTTGTTTGTAGCCATTTCTATTTTTATGCCTGTGTTCCTTCTTACCTTTTTTATTTCTTCTTTTTATAGCATTCACTTTAGCATTTCTTGCATTACTGGCTTGGGAGTGATACACTCCCTTAGCTTTTTTTTTTGTCTGCAAAGCTCCCTTCAATTTTGATTTATAATCTTGCTGGATAGAGTATTCTTGGATTCAGTCTCTTGTTTTGCAACACTTGGTATACCTCCTTCCATTCCCTTCTATCTTGATGTGTTTCTGTTGAGAAATCATTTGATAATCTGATGGGGGGATCCTTTGTAGGTAACTCTCTCTCTCTCTCTTGCAGCCTTTAAGGTTTTCTCTTTGTTGTTAACATTTGCCATTGTAATTATGACGAGCCTCAATTTCTTTACTTGTAAAATGGGTATCATATTCTTTTTGCCTACATGTGACTTTTGCTTCCTTTCTCCCTTCCTAAAAAATGCAGTTAGTTATTTCCCTGTTACCTTGTAATGTGCCCATATTCTGTGAATAGTGATATCAGTGAATAGTAACACCTTGTAAGTAACAAGACACACTGGTTTTGCCGGTAAATGAATCCCATTTCATGCACACATGATATAAAATAAAAATGCCAAGACCGCATCCAATTAATAAAAAGCAAGTCACAATGCAAAAATGTACTGAAGGAATGTTTATGTGGTACCTAATCATCAGTCTGGGGTGCCTAAGAGCCACACTTTGCACCATCCTCTTGGAAGAGGCTGAATGGATTAGAAAAAAACATGACCCATATATATGCTGTCTATAAGAGACCCACCTCTTGGAAGAGGATGGTGCAAAGTGTGGTTCTTAGGCACCCCAGACTGATGATTCCCTTCATTAAAGCGCTTGAGTTCTCCATGGGTCTGGGTCCACTGGTCCCTTGAGCATCTTGGTAAAAGGTGAAAGTTTTATGTGGTCTGAAGAGGAATCAGAGTATTTTTGAGCACCTTGGAGCAGGAAGCATCTTGCAGGTCCTCCAGGGAGCTGGTGTCCAGGAAAGTAGACTGGGCTGGGAATTGAATTCTTCTTCCCAAATTCTCTGGGTCAGTGGTAGGCAAACTGCAGCTCGCGAGCCGTGGTTTGCCGCTCTGTTGACTGGGTTTGCTGGACCACTGACCTAGATTCCAATAATTACAGGCTGTTGTTCCTTGTGATTAAGCCCCTAGTCTGGGTGACCTTGGGAGACCCCTAGTGGGGAAGTGCGATAACACACACCATCCTGGCAAAGGATGGGTTTTCAGCTGGTCCTTTTGCTGCAGGTACCACATAAACATTCCTTCAGTACATTTTTGCATTGTGACATGCTTTTTATTAATTGGATGCGGTCTTGGCATTTTTATTTTATATCATGTGTGCATGAAATGGGATTCATTTACCGGCAAGACCAGTGTGTCTTGTTACTTACAATGTGTTACTATTCACTGATACCATTTTTTCTTAGTTTTTGGGAGTTTTGTCCTTTCCAGAGCTTGTGAATTTCTATTGGATTCCTCTAAACTGTATTTAAATAACAAAAGTGTTCCTCTCTTATAAAACCACTTTAAGTTTACATTCGATATGTGTATTTTAGATTTCATTTTATGTAATAACTTTTTTAAAAGTAGCCCTTTCTGTGTACGAGGCACTGTTCTATATATTTTATAACTATCAACTTGTTTAATCCTTATAACAGCTTTGTGTGGTGGATGTTATTAACCCTGTCTATAAATGAGAAACTGGGCTTCAAAGACAATAAGTAGTGTGCTCAAATTTACATGTTTTAAATACCTAACCATTGAATGTTCAGTTCATTGAATCAGAGTGCCACTTGGTATTCCACAGCAAGCATCCACACATGATCACATTTCACTATTTATTCTCCTGGCGACAGTCTCTTAGGTTCCTCCAACGCCCGCTGCCATCGAGGCCGCTGCCGTGAACGTGCTGTCCTGCCCTCCAGGCCCAGCAGACCGGCTGAGTCAGGAGGGATTCACTCAGTCACAGGTGCCGCCCTGGGTGCTGTCCCGCCTGGCGTCTGTCTCCCATCATGCAGTGTGTGAGGATTCCCTTCCTCGCATCTCTGATGTCCTATACTTTTGCCATATCCATTTCATAGAAATGGAATCATAGAGTATAGCCTTTCGAATCCGCTTCTGTTAGCATAATGTCTTTGCGGTTCACTCATGTTGTATACCTGTAGGCAATTGGTTACTTTTTTATTGATGGAGGATGAATGTATCACAGTTGGCTTACCTTGGCTTATCCATTTGCTGTCTGAAGGATATTTGCCTTGTTTCCACTTTTTTTATGACCTCGATAGTTTTGAGCATACTGGTTAGGCATTTTGTGGAATGCCTGAGGTATCTCTAACTTTTTAAAAAATATATAGATTTTATTGATTTTTTACAGAGAGGAAGGAGAAGGATAGAGAAGAAGAAACATCAATGAGAGAGAGGCAATCCAGCGGCACAGTCAACAGTTAGTCCTCTGCGTGCAATGTGCGCAACTCCAAGGCTCTGCCTTTCGCTGATCCCTGTGTTTCTGCCTTACAGCCCAGATTCCCTCCATATGAGCCTAGGTCCCCAGGATCTGGTCTAGAACTGGGGTTTAGTGCAGTTGGAACTGGGGCTCAGCACTGTCTGGAGCTTTTGTCTCCTTCTGGCTAGGGAATGCCAGCCAGGCACTCAGCCTACCCCTCCTCTCCGGCTCTGCCCTCTCCCCAAGTGCGCACCAAGGCTCCGTACCTTAGGCTTTTACAGCTCCTCTGATTTTCCTTTTGGTTTTCTCTTTCCTTCTAGTTGTAGAATTTCCAGTCAGTCAACTTTCCTGTAGTTCTGGATAATGTCCACTTTATATTTTAGTTATATTTTTTGAAATTGTTGTGTGAGGCTGCAATTAGGCGGTTACCTATGCTGTCATCTTGGTTTCTCCTCTCAAGAATCAGGATATTTTCTAAAGTGTCTTTTTACTACCTTTACTTTTTTCTCTTTTTTTATATCCTTACCCAAGGATATTTTCTCCATTGCTTTTTAGAGAGAGTGGGAAGGGGAGACGGGGAGAGAGAAACATTGATAGGGTAGGGACTGAACCTGCAACCCAGGTAGGTGCCCTTGAATGGAAATAGAACCTGTGACCCTTCAGTCCCTGGGCAGACGCTCTAACCACTTAGCATACTGGCCAGGAGGACTTAACTACCTTTGCTTTTATCAGGCTTTTGAGAACATGTAGAAAGATACATATTTCAAAGAAGTACTTAGCATTATCAACTAGTATACAATAGTGAGGAATAAAATGCACACATAAAACAATGGTTATAATATGAAAATGTCTTCTAAATATGACCAGTCTGGCACAGAACCTTCTTTTCTTCCTCCTCAAGGTCTCTCCAGGTCTTCCAAGCCACGGGGCAAACGTGGATGTGTGTCGCTCCCGATGCCGCACGCCGTGTCTAGAGGTAGTCCGACAATTCCATCTCAAAGTCATTTCCAGAAGACATTTCTTTTGGTATATTTTTTTAAATGGGCGTTTGCAAGACGTGTGATTTTTCTAACTCTACTTTATCATACGTTGGCAACCTCTTTACATCTAGAAGGCCTAGATGTAGCAAATTCTCTTTTGAAAGGTTAGGGGGAAAGTTGAGAGCAGCTTTTTCATATTATATACACAGGCGCCTATCAAGGGCCAGTAAATCTTCGCAAAGGGTGGTGGGCACTTCCTAGTAGCCAGAAGTGGCACGTTCTTCTGCCATTTCTCTTCCGAAATCAGGGTTTGCATAACGAAGACCAACCGCCCGAAGGCCCGCTAACCGCTCCACCCGCCGTGGGTGGGGCTCCGCTCACCTTCGGTCCTTAAGGCCTTTGTCCATCGTGGTCAGGACGAGGTGAGGTCTCCCCCACATGGGATGGGGAAGACACCCCAGGCGCCCTCCCAGGTGTCCAGGCCTGAGGGTGGGCGAACCGTGTCCACGCAGACCCGCCTCTCGGCCTCCGAGGCCCCAACAGCCTCCCTCTGTGCATGGGGGGCTCCTCTCATCCTGGGGGCCGGTTTCATCCTGGGGCTTGGTGGCAATGCCTTAACTGTATGCGTGTTGTTAGGCCCCAGAGCCTCTTCCATCCTTGTCACGGGGAGTGCTAACCTTCTCTCCTTTCATACAACTCTGTACTTCATTCTTTAGCTGCTGAATAATATTCGTGTGTGGCGCTACCATATTTACTTATTCCTTTATCAGTTGCTGGACATGTGGTTGTTTCTTTTCTTTTTTTTGGGGGGGGGGACTATTTTGAATAATGCTTCTATCAACATTTGTGTGTACCAGTTTTTGTGTGGATGTATGCTTTTCTTTTCTTGGTTATATACCTAGGAGTGGAGTTGCTGAATCGTGGGTAAGTATCTGTTTAACCTTTTGAGGAACTGTCAGACTACTTTCCAAAACACCTGCACCATTTTACATTTCTTCCAGCGGTGCAGATTTCCCACTCTTCCCCAACACGTTACTTCCTGTTGTTGTTATTGTCATCCATTTCCCAGTGCCTAACGATGGTGAGCATCTTTGTGTTTGTTTGCTTATAGGTCGTTTGCATATCTTCGTTGGAGAAATGTCTTTGCTCTTTTTAAATTGAGTTCTTTCTCTTTACTGAGTTTGTGCGTTATTTATATACAAGTGTCTATGAGATACACGATTTGCAAATATTTTACTTTTAATTTCTTTATGTGGATCCCTCTATTCAGATTTTCTGTTGTGTCTTGTACCCATATTTTCAAAAGGCTTATGTTGTGTTCTCTTTTTACCCTTTGTTACTTTACTTAAACTTTATACCTAGTTACCAGTTATCTATATTAAGTAATCTCTGTTCAAATAACCAGTGTAGTTTCTGTCTCTTGGTTGAATCCTGTGCCTGCTTTTTTTATCTGACACGTTGGTGAGATGTATCCGTGCTGATGCACCGAGCTGTGGTTCATTGTCATTCCTTTGTCCACTGTTGGGCAGATTGGGTTGTTTCTAGTCTAGGGCTAGTATAGTGGTGCTGCTGTGAGCATTTTGCCCCTGCCTTTTGGTGAGCACATTTCTGTTGTGTATGTACGTACTTAAGAGAGGAATTGCTGACTCCTAGATGTCTCTTTAGCTTTAGCCAAAGTTTTCCCAAGTGTTTGCACCTGTTTGTACCCCTTCTGTAGTGTGAGAACGCTAGGTGCTCCCCATTCTCACCCTCACCAGTGCTTGGAATTGGGAATGTTTTCCCTGTAGCCCCTTCAGTGGGTGTCAGCTCCATTTAGCGAGTCCCTCCTTCCCCACTGATCTGTCACCTTTGTCATATAGCAAGTCGCACAAATGTGTGTGTCTATTTCTGGACTCTTCCATTCCCTCAAAACATTTGTCTGTCCTTCCACCAATGTGGTTATGGAACATGTCTCTGCCTTCTTCCAGGAAAGACTTTGGTTTCCACCGTGGCTCTGCAGAATGACTCTGACCCTGGTGTCAGGCCTTTGTGGCCAGTGATCTGGGACTCCCTCAGGGCCGGCTGCAGTGAGTGGGTAGTCAGGCTCAACATTGGGTTGAGCTGAGGGTCACTCAGGGCACCTAGTCTAGGGCCAGAGTCAAGGGTGTGGCTGGGACTGAACCTGGGGCCCAGTTGGGACTTGATTGGAGCTGGCTCTGTGTGGAATTGAGGTCAGGGACTCCGGGGGCTCAATTTGGAGGCAAGAGGGGTTTCATGGGGTTCTGACTAGGGCCTGGTGCTGAGGTAGAGCAGAGGCTGCAGGAGGTTAGGGCCTCCTGGGCCAGGGAGGGGTCCCCTTGAGGCTTGATCTCTGGCCTTTACTGTGTGCTGTGGCTGAATGGCTTTGGGTGATCCTCAGGGAAGGCAGCAGGACTAAGCTGGGGTCAGGTGGGATATGTCCAGTCCTGGCCTGAGCCTCCTGGAGGGTCCCAAACCTCCCTGTGCCCCACTTATACTAGGTGACCTTAGGCAGTCCCTGCCCTTCTTAGTTCTTTGTTCATTCTGGCAATATTGCTTTTCCTAAGCCCCAGGCACTGCTGTCAATGTCCCCATCCTTTAAATCAAGAGGGATCCCAGCTCTGCCAGACTCACCGCATGTGCAAAAATGCTGTGCCAGCTGGATTGCTAGTCACGTGACTGAAAGGACCCTCTAGCCATGGTGGGTGCAGCACAGAGCACCCCTGCGGCTGCCTGGAGCTGACCTCCGCAATCTGAAACCAGCTCATTCCTACCTCCATCCTGAGCCACTGTGCCCCTGTTTCCAAAGGCTGCTTTTCCTGGAACACGGAGGTGACCCTGGAGATGCAGGCTCTAGTCCTAAAGGCCATGTGACCTTGACTGCTGCCCCCACAGGGGCCCAGAACCTCCACTGGGATTCCTGTAGTTCCCCCCACTCTGCCCTCTCCTCCCAGGAGGCTGTTTTCCTCAGCACCTCTGTCCACTCCCCGATGCTGGTCTCACGCTGGACCTTGGGAGTCGGGGGTGGAGGGGAGGAATGGGCAGCCATTGGGGATGGGAGGAGAGGGTGGGAGGGTGTGTGGAGTCTCTTGGGCCCTTAATTCCACAGACCACAGACCACAGACACGGGCCAAAGCAGTGTTCAGCCTTCTATTATATTAGACTCCGCCTCTCGGAGGAGCCACTCCCCGTGGGGAGGGGGTGTTCTGGGGCGGGGCGGGGGGGCTCTGGCACCCGTCCTCTGGAGGACTGTGTGGTGAGGTTCGTGAGTTTGTGGCAGTGTCTGGGAAAGGGCTTCATGCCCGGCCTGGGGTGCCCTTGAAGTGGTGCAGGCCCTTCCCGTGTGGACAGCCCGGGGATGGGCAGGCAACAGCTGAGCCTGGGCTCTCATTCGGGGCCTTCCCCTGGCACCTTCGGGCCCAGCTCCCTGGATGATCCTTCCTTGGAGGGTCCCAGTGGGCACCCCGGCCTCACAGTGGCTGTGTGACCCCTGCCTGGCACTGCCCTCTGGGCCTGTTTCCTCCACTGGGAGCCGGGCCTAACCCCTCAGAGGGAGGCTTCCCTGAGCGGGTCCCCTGGGCATGAGCAGGTGCAGACTGTGTGTGTGTGGAGCAGGTGACGGGGACGGGGGCCTGCACACGGGGCGCCCGGGAGGCCTAGTCGTCCTTGTCCTTGGCACCGTGTTTGAGGATGCGGGTGAACTCCACGTAGTTGAAGTTGCCTTTCTTGTCGATGGGTGCCTCGCGGTACATCTCGTCCACTTCCTCGTCGGTGAAGCGGTCGCCCATGGTGGTGAGCAGCTCCCGGAGGTGGTCCTCGTGGATAAAGCCTGGGGGTGAGGCCAAGGTGCATGAGAGACAGGGACTCAGGCTGGGACCCAGCCAACACCCCCCCCCCCCTCAGCACCCCCACCGGCGGGTCCTTGTAGACCTGTCACCGATGGGGATGGAGGGGGTTGAGGAAATGACCAGCCCTGGCCTCCGGTCAGCTTGAGCTCGCCGGGGCCCCAGGAGGTGGAGTCCTGCAGCGGGGCTGTCTGGGAGGCGTTTCTGGGGGGAACTTGGGGCTCAGCGTGGGGGACTGGGAGTGTCCTGCTTGTAGAGCGTGAGCCCCAGGGTTCTGCTGCCCGGATTTGAATGCTGACCCCCCGTCTTCCTAGCTGTGTGACTTGGGGCAAGGTACCTACCCTCTCTGCTGTGCCTGTTTGAGCCGGAGAATGGGGGTGAAGGCAGTCAGGAAAGTGTTCCGAGCACACTCGGGCCCGTGGTCCCCGAGAAACTGCTGAAACTACCACTGCCAGCCTCACTCTGGCTTGTCCCGGGACAAAGCTGTGGGACAGGAAGTCTCTCAGAAGACTGGAGGGCGCGGGCTGGTGTCTTGTTTGCCAGCAGGGCCTGATTGTGTGATTTCTGGAAAGATCTACAGCAGAGACAGAGCGTGCTGGGCCAGCAGGTGAGCTAGGAAGTGGGCAGCCTGGGTGGATGTGGGCTGTTTGGGTTTAGCATTTGGAGAGGGACGCCGTGTCTCTTAGGGTTCTGGTGCCAAACCGGCAGAGGGGCGATTTCTGTCCCCTGGGGGCAGCGGCCCAGCCCTGACCGGCCCGGAGGCCCCACCTGAGGCCTCCTCGTCGAAGCAGGCGAAGGCATTGCGGATCACGTCCTCGGGGTCCGTGCCGTTCAGCTTCTCCCCGAACATGGTCAGGAACATGGTGAAGTTGATGGGTCCCGGGGCCTCGCTCATCATGCCCTCCAAGTACTCGTCCGTGGGGTTCTTCCCTGTGGCGGGCGAGGCGGTCACGCCCGTGGTCATCGCCCGCCCCTCCCGCCTCCCTGGCCCTCCCTCCGTGGCCCCGGTGAGGCCTGCAGACCGGGGGTGGGACGTTTATAAGCTGGTGGGCGTCTTGCTGGGCAGCGGCTGCCCGCCTGCTCTCTCTCTCGGGCTCTCCCGGGGCCTCGGTGAGCCTCCTCCCCTGGGCTGGATGCCGGGGAGCGGGGCGGCTCTGGAACCTGTGAGAGCACCATCTGCTGACTGCTCGCTCCTGCGTCCGGGCTTCCCCCGCCTATTGCATCGACCTCCGCCGCACCGCCCTGTGCGGTCAGTGTTCCTGCACCCACTTCCCGGGTGTGGAGCCTGAGGCACAGAGGGAGGTGACTTTGGTCACCCGGCAGGGAA